AGACAGACAGACAGACAATATAGATAGACAGACAGACTATAGAGATAGATAGATAGATAGATAGACAGATAGATAGACAGACAGACAGACAATATAGATAGATAGACAGACAGACAGACAGACAGACTATAGAGATAGATAGATAGATAGATAGATATGGCTGAGCAACTATTTTATGGCTGAGCAATTCCTAACTCATCAGATATTATTAAACAATAGGAAGGAATTGGCAGATGTATGATTTTGATTTGCAACCATGGCGCAGATTTCCTCTAAGCTTGCAGCCGCTTAAATCCCTAGTGTACGACACACCTTTGTTTTCCAACCCAGCAGGCACACACACACTCACTCACACACACACAAACACAGAGTCACGGTTAGGTGTGACAGTGTTGTCCTATCCTTAGTGACGTCTCTCTGCCTGCTCGCCTGTAGCTCTCTTCCAAACACAGAGGGCGGGTTCAAGACTCTGTCATCTGTCCATAACCCGGCCTGTGACGGAAAGGGAGGGATGTAGGAGGAGAGAGAGTGACAGAGAGAGAGAGAGAGAGAGAGAGAGAGAGAGAGAGAGAAAAAGTGTCTGGAAATCTGATTGCCTGCCTGCAGTAATGGAGTCAGGAATCACCTAAAGGACAGGACAAAGGGACGTACAGACAGACACCAGACAAGATGAATGTCTGAATGCCAATGAGACTCAACAGGACACTGGCTATTGATACAATTATAGGGCTTCCAAGTAAATTACATAAATCTGAGGAACAATTACAGAGCAATCAAATAAGGCTCAACTTACCAATCATCAAACTGAGAAGCTTCTGTACTTTTGAACTGACCCCGACCACTCTGTACAGACCCTGATCATTAATACCTGTGAAAATAAAAACATGTTTTGTAATAGAGGTACTTTATTCAAATCCCAGCTGATATGGGAAACTAAACAGGAGCACACTAAGCTTCTCATGTATTATCCTGAACAAAGCACAACAGGTTGTTGGTGTGGGCTGAGAAAAACTGCTAGATCATTCTGACCTCTAGTGTTCAGAAGTTGTTACTACACTATGTGAAATATTGAAGGTTGAGAAAGATGGTTGACTTTTTTTTTTTCTTAAAAAACTATATAATTCTTGCCTGATACATTTTGCGTTCCTTTATTTTGTATATGGTTTTCATATATTAAAACATGGAGAGTTACCTCTGGTTTCAACGGCATTTATTGAATTTTTCACAAAGGTTATCCCCAAATCATCCAACGTATACACTACTGTTCAAAACTTTGAAGTCTGCAAGGTATTTTTTTTTTGAAGTCTCATGCTTATCAAAAACATAAACATAATATTGAAATATTTAAATTTAAAATATTTTTTTTCTATTTAAATATATTTTAAATGTAATTTATTCCTGTCAAGGCAAAGCTGAATTTTCAGCAGCCATTACTCCAGTATTGAGTGCCACATGATCCTTCAGAAATCATTCTAATATGCTGGTTTTGTGCTCAAAAACAACAACATCTACATTATTCTATTTTGATAAATAGAAAAAACAAAAGAACAGTATTTATTTGAAATAGGTTTCTGAAACAATGTACACGTTTTTACTGCCACTTTTAATGCTTGCTGAATAAAATTATTAATTTCTTTCTTTTTTTTTTTTTTTAAATGTGCTGACTGCAAACTTTTGAACACTAGTGCAGCTCTAAAAGCTATCTTTCCAAGCTATCTTCCCAAAAGTTATTTAGGTTTTGTCAACTGAGAAAGAGAAAATTGTCTTTATTGAATAAAGCTGTTAGAAGCTGAAGTGAGGGTTTGACACACCGACTCCTTTCCTCCCATCGCATGCATCCAGAATCTGTAGTCATCTTCTGAGAGTGCCTGGACCGTCAGCACTGTGCTTGGTCTAGAAAAACAAACAACAACCGCACAAACTTAGCCTGCTGCCTCATATGAAATCAAAACTCAACTCATTTGCTTTTTTATTGTAGATTACTGGTCTTACTGTGCATGATTTGTTTGTGAACATCTCCATAATTGTCTTATCAATATGTAACAACAGTGAAGTGTCTTTCCATTTCATGTTTCTATTATTTTAAGGTTATGCATCTGCATCAGACATAGTTGTTTTGAGGGCACATGCTTTGAGGTGTATGAGGTAATAAAGAGAATAAGAGAGTCTCCAACAGGAGTAATGTACACATGATGTAACTCTAGGGTGCCAATTAACTATTTCTTGACTGTTCAATCAATTCCACATGGATAAAAATAACATTCCAGCCTATATTTTCTCAATTTCATTCGGTAATACATGAGATTATTGAAGTCAAATGCATATTTACATTGAGATTGATTCACCTCCTAATTTGGAAACATTTTGATGTGCCATTGAAAAGATTCCACTATGCATGATTTACGTTCATCATACACTCTGCCCAGGTCAGCTTTGGCTTTGATTAATGAGGGCCCTTAGTGTATTCTAGATGATCAAAATATTTTGGTTTTCCTTATCCTCTCTCATGTTAAACCCAGTAGTTTCAGAGGTATTTACAATTCTTCTTATTTCTTGTTTATTATCATCTAAAGTTAAATTCTTAACTCATAACAATCATAAAAGAATAATTATGTGTGATTTGCTTCCTATTTTTAAGCAAAAATCTACTTGAAGACTATCAGTTTACAGGTGAGTCAGAGTAGTTGTTAAAACGTGACTTTTTTTAACACTCATGTTTTGTTCCAGTAATTTTGACCTGAGAGGATTTTCACGAAAATGCTAGTTAAATGTTAACATATTGGACTAATACTAACTTTGCCCAAAAAAACTAAAAAATATATTTACTGTACTTGGGGATTTTTTCCCCACTTTGTTACACCTATGGTGTTTCCATTAAAAAATTACTGGGAAAGAGTAAATTATATATACATACATACACTCCTGAAAAAAATCTTAAGACCGGTGGAAACATTACAATTATTAGCATTTCGCGCTGGTGGATCATAACCAGGTTTTAAGTACTGCTTCAAAATGCCAAAAGAAGAAAAAGGAGCAAGTGATAAAAAGAGAGCAGGAAATTTATTGAAAACTGCATTTAAACTCAAACAGGCTTGTTAATCAGCTGATCAAAAGTTTAAGACCATAGCCTTAAAAAGTTAAAATCTGCGCAAAAATATGGCTTTCATGTCATTGTCCTTCAGGCAGTCACACTGTCATGATCTCCTGATGGCAAAGGCAGGATTGTTGAGGTGCACAAGCAAGGGCTCTCGCAACGCGCCATCGCTGCCGAGGTTGGACACAGTAAGACAGTCATTTTACATTTCTAAAAAGATCCTGAGCGTTATGGGACAAAAAAAGTCAAGTGGTAGACCCAAAAAAATGTCTCCTGCACTGAACCGGAAGACACAGGCCAATCCTCGACCCAAATTAAGGCCCTCACTGATGCTGACTGCAGCCCAATAACCATAAGATGGCATCTGCGAGAGAAGGGCTTAAAGAACAAAAAACGTCTTCAAAGGCCACGTCTCCTCCCACGCCACAAACTTGCCCGTTTGGAATTTGCAAGAGAGCACCAAACATGGGACATTGAAAGGTGGAAGAAAGTTTTATTCTCTGACGAGAAAAAATTTAACCTGGTCGGTCCTGATGGCTTCCAACGTTACTGGCATGACAAGGAGATCCCACTGGAGATGTTTTCTACATGGCACAGTGGAGGAGGCTCCATCATGATCTGGGGTGCTTTTTCCTTGAATGGGAAAATTAAGCTTCAGGTTGTGCAGGGGCGTCAAACGGCAGCTGGCTATTTTGTTCTTTAAGCCCTTCTCTTGCAGATGCCGTCTTAAGGTTATTGGGCTGCAGTCAGCATCAGTAAGGGCCTTAATTTGGGTCGAGGATCAGCCTGTGTCTTCATGGACAGCCCGTCGGATCCTTCGGCTCAGTGCAGGTGACGTTTTTTTGGGTCTACCACTTGACTTTTTTTGTCCCATAACTCTTAGGATCTTTTAAGAAATGTAAAATGACTGTCTTACATGCGTCCAACCTTGGCAGCGATGGCGCGTTGCGAGAGCCAATGCTTGCGCGGCTCAACAATCCTGCCACGTTCAAAGACAGATAGCCTTTTTGACTTTGCCATCAGGAGATCATGACAGTGTGACTGCCTGAAGGACAATGACATGAAAGCCATATTCCGGAAGACACAGGCCGATCCTCGACCCAAATTAAGGCCCTCACTGATGCTGACTGCAGCCCAATAACCATAAGATGGCATCTGCGAGAGAAGGGCTTAAAGAACAAAAAACGTCTTCAAAGGCCACGTCTCCAAAGGCCATGTCTCCTCCCATGCCACAAACTTGCCCGTTTGGAATTTGCAAGGGAGCACTAAACATGGGACATTGAAAGGTGGAAGAAAGTTTTATTCTCTGACGAGAAAAAACGTAACCTGGACGGTCCTGATGGCTTCCAACGTTACTGGCATGACAAGGAGATCCCACTGGAGATGTTTTCTACATGGCACAGTGGAGGAGGCTCCATCATGATCTGGGGTGCTTTTTCCTTGAATGGGAAAATTAAGCTTCAGGTTGTGCAGGGGCGTCAAACGGCAGCTGGCTATTTTGTTCTTTAAGCCCTTCTCTTGCAGATGCCGTCTTAAGGTTATTGGGCTGCAGTCAGCATCAGTAAGGGCCTTAATTTGGGTCGAGGATCAGCCTGTGTCTTCATGGACAGCCCGTCGGATCCTTCGGCTCAGTGCAGGTGACGTTTTTTTGGGTCTACCACTTGACTTTTTTTGTCCCATAACTCTTAGGATCTTTTAAGAAATGTAAAATGACTGTCTTACATGCGTCCAACCTTGGCAGCGATGGCGCGTTGCGAGAGCCAATGCTTGCGCGGCTCAACAATCCTGCCACGTTCAAAGACAGATAGCCTTTTTGACTTTGCCATCAGGAGATCATGACAGTGTGACTGCCTGAAGGACAATGACATGAAAGCCATATTTTTCAGCATATTTTAACTTTTTAAGGCTATGGTCTTAAACTTTTGATCAGCTGATGAACAGCCTGTTTGAGTTTAAATGCAGTTTTCAATAAATTGCCTACTCTATTTTTTGTCTCTTGCTCCTGTTTCTTCTTTTGGCATTTTGAAGCAGTACTTACAACCTGGTTACGATTCACCAGCGCGAAATGCGAATAATATTGGAATCTTTTTATCATCAACTTGTTTTCTTTAAATTAGCACAGGTTTTGTATTTCTTTTTGGCTGACTGATTGTAGGCCTCAATGAACTGAGCTTATGCACCTCAGACAAAAAGATTAAATCCAAGATCTGGTGATAATATATAACACCAAATTAGGAAAAGGATTTTCAGCACAGAAGAAGGGTTAAAGTCATGGCCTAATGGTTAGAGAGTCGGACTCGTAACCCAAAGGTTGCAGGTTCGAGTTTCGTACCGGCAGGGATTGTAGGTGGGGGGGAGTGAATGGCTCCGGGTGTGTGTTCACGGTGTGTGTGTGCACTTTGGATGGGATAAATGCAGAGCACTAATTCCGAGTATGGGTCACCATACTTGGCCACATGTCACGTCACTTTCACGTCACTTAAGGTAGTGTGCTAATAATCTTTAATTAAATGACCCGATTTCTTGTGAATCGAAATGCATCATTACATTATTCACAGTTACCATCTCAACTTGGAGCGCATGTCCAACATACCGATCTGTGATCTCGATGTCTAGGCAGAACCTCCTGTCAAGTGTGTCTGTGGTTTTGCGGACACAAGACTTGATTGTAACAGATTCTGTCTCACCCTGAATGGATACAGAACATTCTGTGAACAGCAGATCAGCTATACATTTATATTTTATGAAGCATGCCATTATCATGACTAATGTGTCATGTGTGATGATAATTTACAAGCTTCCCGCCTGATCTCTGGTCAAATGTCTTCATGTGTAGAATTTTCTGTTCTTTGACAAATGTGCAATAGCGTTTCACCCAGCTGGATCCGAAAGGAGGAGGTCCTGCGGAAATAGCAATATCTATCAGCAATGCAACCAGCGGAGCACAAGACACATGACATGACAGTCAGTAAAAAATAAGGCACCCCAGTGTTACATCATAAAATGTCTTGCGTACGTTTCTCCTGTACGTAAAGATAGCCCTCGCTGCTGATGGGGCTGGTCTGTCTGTATTCCTGTGGCGACTCTTTGATTCTCTTCATTAACTCGTACACCTCAGAGCGCGTGCCCTCAAAACGACTCCGTGTCTGAAAGCAGAGGCACAAACATAAAACAATAACAAAATCAACTATGAAGATTCTGTGAGGACCTGGTAACTGGGAATTCACTGAGATGGCTTATTACACAATAAGTAATTTCCCAGTGTATTCCCCATCAACATGCTTAATTGTGCTAATCTAAGAACCATGATTTCAAGCTATACATCCTCAGAACTCTGACCCTGACCATCCGATGTACAAATGATCAAAAAAAAAAAAAAACACCAATGAGGACAGTGATGTGGTCCAATCAAATAGGACAGGGGAGGGAAGTCGGCTCTCAAACTTCCGGCTTAGAAGTTAAACAATGGAAGGTCAATGCAAACAAAGGCCTTGAAGTTTCCCTTGGAAGCCTTGGCCCTCTCAGAATGCTGCTGTATCCTGTCTCAATAACTCTTTTCCATGTCACTCTGCAAGCCAATAGTGTTAACCAGAAGAAGCTGAGTGAAGACTGATAAATCTTGGAGAATCACTCTAAAAGTGTGTTTATAGCGGTTTTATATACTTGGCAAACAAAGATTTGATAGATGGAATATATATTGAATAAATCATTTAAAAATAGATCTAAAGTTTTGTATTTAAGTCGAAAATGTTATTACATTTTTACTTACATTCTGAATATTGATTTGAAGGGCCTTTTTATAATGGTCAAAGTCTTTGGCCAACTCATATCCCTGATGATAGAAAGTAAATACAGTCTGAAAGAACGCCAGCATCTGTATAAGAGAGAGGGGGGAAGAAGGGAATTAGAGAAAGTAAAAAATGAGAACACATTATATCATTATCATTATATGAAATACGGTATCATTATACCGGGACAGATAATCTCAAGTTTATATAATCTTATCTAATCTTAGTGTCTAAATCCCTATGCAATATTTAATTCAAAGCAAAAGACACATTTTCAAGTAGAAAGTCATATAGATGTCCATAAACTGGAAAAGTGAAAGTAATCAGGTAAATATTTGCTCTGCAAAAACACCAAGGTTCCATATAAAGGATATTAATTTGCTTATGCAATTTGGCAATGTGAATTAGTCAGAATACTCGCCCCACTTGTAAATGGCTTGGACACACCTATATTTATAGAAGGCTTTTGTGTGTGGTAAAAGTACCAAATGTAAGCATGCTGCGCTTACAGCTCTCACTAAATATTCTACTTCATTTAATTATTTGGAATAAGGTAGGCTACACTACAGTTCAAACAGAAAGCAGCATTACTGTTTTCAACATTGATATTAATAAGAAACATTTCTTCAGCAGCCAATCAGCATATTAGAATGATTTCTGAAGGATTATGTGACTCTGAAGACTTTGCTGTCACAGGAATATTACATTCACAGGAATTTAAATTGTGATAATATTTCCACAATATTACCGTTTTTTTTTCTCCAGTATTTTTAAACAAATAAATGCAGCCTTGGTGTGCTTAAGAGGCCTTCAAAAAAAAAAAAAAAATTCTTAACCCCAAACTTTTGAATGGTAGTGTATATATTAACAATATTATTATGGCTTAACTTATCTGTATATACATAGTGTCCAGTTATCATTTTATATGTTATTTTAATTCAGTTTGTATAAAATCTGCATACTTACAACATGCCAAAGTAATATTTCATTCCAAACATAGCCCTTATGTTTGCTATTCTGTTTGGTGCTGCAGAAGAACAGCTTGGAAGTGTTATGGCAATACTTACGAAATAGTGTATATGCACACACAGTACAGTATAAGTACTGTATACACAGAAATGCATATTTGTAACATTTATTCTTGTGCTGTACAATCACCTCAGAGCACTGAGAGTGAATTTCAGTAAATGTGTTTCCTTTCTTTTTCGTGATAAGTGACAGCGTATCAGATGCTGTCGACAGGCAAACAAGAGACAGCAAACAATGTTGAAATAAATCAAGTTGAATGACAATCTGGATGAAAGGTCATGCACTCACAGGCTCAACACACTCAAACTTTTTCCTCTCCTGTATCTCCTGCAGCTTGCAAACGTACTCCAGAGACGACTCCTGAAAGTGCTGTCTCATCGCTTCCACCGACATGTCCGCCTGAAAGACAGACAGAATGAAAAAAGTACCATAACAGTTGAGATGAAAAGGTTGAAGAAAACAGGGAGAGAAATCATCACATAAAAATTACAAGTGACTTAGGATACGCAGGTGGAAAAATGGGTCTTTCAAAAAACTGTCTGTATTTTTCCTGTGTTTACCTGACCGTGTGTTGCCTGCCTTTATGACACAGAGGGCCTTATTCTGAAAATGGAATATTTGAAAACCAAGAAACAACTTTGTCTTTGATGATGTAATTGTGTAAAGTTTTGTCCGAATGTAAACAGTACTAAACACTAACTACTGTAATATGGTTATTATGTGTGCAAATACAGTTAAACAGTTTAACGTCTCTTAGAAACATTTCTTGGCGATCTCCATCACAAATACACACCGTGATGCAGGTATAAAGTCTCAAAGCTTTACCAAAAAAGTACTTGAACTTAAATGAAAACATATACAGTGGGTACGGAAAGTATTCAGACCCCCTTAAATTTTTCACTCTTTGTTATATTGCAGCCATTTGCTAAAATCATTTAAGTTAATTTTTTTTCCTCATTAATGTACACACAGCACCCCATATTGACAGAAAAACACAGAATTGTTGACATCTTTGCAGATTTATTAAAAAAGAAAACTGACATGAATTCTTTAAGCTGTTGTTCGGTGTGTGTCAAGCGTCCTGGTGTGTATGGAAGACAGGAATAACTCTCAAATTCACGCAGCTGACATCTTGATAACAACAGTTTGTTGTAAACAAGATAAATGGATGCCAACAGTTTAACCAAAATGGTGTTTGTAACATTATCTAGTTCCTAATATAACATTACTATAATCATCAGACTTTTTTATAAACAGTCAGATGCACTGTTTTGTTTATTATCATTAAGCTCATGCATTAGACAGTGTGCATTTTCTGGACTGTAAAGGTAGGACCGGTGGGAGAGACTACTGTGGAGACAGCATTAATAAAAATAAAATAACATAAAATAAATCTCTGAGCAGCCTGAGTTGCTCACATTGCACTTCACTATGCAAATTTAATTTGTGAGGTGTTGAATACAGGTTTGTTTGTGAACAATTTGTTGCATACTTGATTAGACAGAATGACCAAAATGCTCATCCCTGAACGTATCTGGCTGCAGTGACATGTGAACATGGCCCATGATAACTTAAGTGTCTTATGAATTGTCGAATAACTGAGCAGTCCCTGGTGTTCTTCAACATTTCTAGGAATCATACACACCAGTCTGACTCAAAACAGCCGAATGCTAAAACCACTGCCCTTGATTCAAACACACACGTCATACGGTACGCAGTAACATAATGGCCCACCATAAAAATATCAACAGTCTCTAGTGCTTTTCATTCTCAATGTATACAACATTTAGGCATGATGGGCATACATTGATTGATCGAGATTTAAGCAGGTTAATACACTGCACTCTTTCACTTTCCCAGGCTTGGAGAGGAATTGTGTGGGATGCCAAGCTTTTTAAATATGGCAGAAATAACAACAGATTTTAATTACCTAAAGCGCCTTGACAATGCAGCCTGTTCATTATCATAATAAAATACAGTCTACAAACTATGTAGTAAAAAAAAAATATGTAGTAAAAAATATGAAGTAAAATATGTGCCGTTAAGTGTTATCACCGTACCGCCGTGATGTTATGCAAAACAGTTAGTTTTACGTGGATATTGGAACGCGAGTGAAGAACATAATAAATAATAATTTGCCTTTCAAATACATCGCGAATATGGAAACATTTGATTTTGTGTCGAATGACAGACCCAACGTTGGTTTCAGTTTCATTTTAATCGTTTATATTGCTATAGCTTCTTATATTTTAAATTCTTGTTCTTTTCTAAATACTGTTAATTGAAAGGCTTTGTTGTGGAGTGAGGGGAACTAAAATAGCCTAGCTATGTTTACAGTGTTTATTATAATGTTTGTAAACATTTGCGTAGGTATTAGGCCTATTTCTGAATTAAATAAAAAATGTGACTTATACGCGACTTATGTTTTTTCCCCCTAAAAAAACATTTTTTTAATACGCGTGACGTATTTTAACCATGCAGCAAACCTTTTTAAATATTTTGATAAATTACAGAAAAAATACATAATTAAATTACATTTTAAACCGTTTAACTGATTGTATTAATCTGTCAAAATGGTTAAAATGAACATCCCTAAACTGCACAATTGCAATATCAAAACTTGGTGTTCTGTAGGTTATGTGGCCAGTGCGGTACTCTTTGAGGACCTACTCTAAATAACCACCATAAACATATATAGCAAACCACTGACCTTGACTTAAAAATATGATCTTTTTTTTCTGAGATACAGAAGGGAAGTACCATTTCTGAAAATAGTTTGCATTACACATCCATCTTGTGTGTGGGAAGAATGAAATGTGAAGTACCTCCTGTAATTGTGGCTCTTTCTTCTTTGCTGAAATGTTCAAAAGTTTCTCTAGTGAGCTGTAGTACTTCTCGGTTTCCTTCTCGTACCTCTTTCTCTCTGCCTGAAGATAGCATGAGAACATATTGAAATAGAGGAACTTACTATTTTTAATACATGGAACGAGAAGCAAGTTTTAAATTCTTAATTTCAATAAATGTACAGTTTTTCATATCTTTTAAAATTATTGCGAATATCCTAAATGTCAGAGATGACAGGAAGAGCTATGCTTTTACCTTTGCTGAGCCGAGATGCTCTTTCCGAAACTTTTCTAAAGGCTTCATCAGTGTCTCTGTGATGTTTCTCATCTGTGAAAAGAAATTTCATTGGATATAGGACATTTGATCATTGCATTTATTTTTATAAAACATTAGCAATAACAGGATGATTTTCATTAATCAAACCTTGCACGAACACATTCTAGGTTTTAATTGTAAATGCCAATAAAGGTGTTGATAAAGGTGATAAAGATGTTCATCACCTGAGGTGAAACGGTTCATTGTAGCCATCTGACATTTTAAAATAAGTATTCCCTAGAAATGAATAGGCCTACATAGAAACAGAAAAAAATATATTTCAATGTTTTTGCACTCACTCGTTTGCAAAACTTTTGCACTCTACCGCAATAAATTTGTATACCCTGAGAAACTTTGCTTTATCTCCCAAAACTTTTGCATTCTCACAACACAATGAAACAAAGTTGTTTCGCTTTCACAATGAAACACACAGCATATCCACAACATGGCGGCGGCGGCAACAATACTACAGCGAGAATAAAAGTTACACCTTCTTTCTTTGCGTGAACATTTGGGCGGTGTTATGCAAATCTTCCCACACAGTGACGTAGACATGTGAGGGCGTGTTTAAACGAGGCGTTTTAGGAGGGCATGGACAAGTCTTAACTTTTATAAAGAATATCTCTTTGGATTTGAGACTTTAGTCTTTGCAACTTTACAGATCTTCTTTATGCACCAAGAGCTTGTAACACTCCAAAGAGAAAGGAAAAATTGAAATCGCATCATATGACCCCTTTAACTACAGATAACATGCATATTAAGGACTTAAATCAAGTACCACTGAACATTCAACCAGAGAGTTTGAAAATACAGTTCCTAATCAACTCATTTAAGGTGACATGACTCAACATAAGCAGCTGTCTTGCGTAATCACAGAGTCATTGAGACAGAGGACACAAATAACTGATGGCAATATAACTCACTTCCTGTGGCAAAACTGTGACTCAAATAGCACTGAAGCATGCAGGAACAAACAGACAAGTGATGTCACTTTATAAAGTATGTGTTGAACTCAACGTTAAGGCCGATTAAATTTTTTTGTTTCTCTCTGCTTGCAAATGACCATGATTCCAAAAATGTTTTTTAGCCTGCAAGGATTTGAAAATGTATAACAGAGTGCGTTTTAATGCAAGTCTCAACTGGTTGTGCTCACCATAAGATCTCTTTGGTCTTCCAAGTTTCTGAGAAAGGAGGAGAATTCTTGCAATGATTCATCTGAAATGGCATACATGCAGACAATGAACAAAGTTTATCTATGCAGGACTATTTACATATTTCTCAGTGTGTGAGCTTCCCATCTGAAACAAACAGATGAATCGCACTTCATAAACACAAATCTCACAGACATCACGCTAGCAGCCAAGTATTAAAATAAAGGCAAATGTATGCATGTGCGTAAATGTAAATAGGCAAAAAATAATAAAAAAATACTCACCAATACACTTCTCATCGTCAGTTTTAGCATCACCAATGTACTCAAATTTGAACTCACCCAGGCACTGAGCAAACTTCTTCTGGGCCAATGAAAGCTCTGCAAATCAGAGACAGAAGAGTTAAACATTTTAAATCCAAAGGCAAATGAGGAATTGCTTTATTTGCGGATGTTTCAGTGTTTCAGTATTTCCATTATTTTAATTCAGGAAGGTGTGCCACACATTAACCTAAACCACCGTTCAAAGGTTTTGGGGCCAGTATGTATGTTTCTTATGTAGACAACAGGTTAAGTAAAAATGTGAATATGCAATGTAGCACATATATTTAGCAAAATGCTCCTCTCTTTTTTTCTAGCTGACTAATGAGAGTATGGACGCCGAATGGTTATTATGAATTAAATGTATTGTTACGTGGCATTTTTTACAAACTTTATTCATTTTCCGCAGTTTGAAACACTGAATGAGCGATTACATTTCAGTAAGTTGTACTGTATCTTATAATATAACTTTCGGTGTCCATACTATAGTAGCAAAGAGAAAGATATGATGGTTTCACGTGCCGCTTGAACGGAGGCGCTAAAGCATTCGCTTTAAAAAAATACATGTACTTACTATTATAATAACAATTAATTATGCATAATTACATGCAAGTAACCCTAATCTAGGGCTGGGCGATATGTCAAAAATATCTTATCGATAATCGCTTTAAAAAACATCGCGATATCCGATAATATCGTCTACCCAAGCCTTTTCTTAGTTTGTGCTTAAACTAACAGAAAACATTAGCTTTGCTGTTATGTTGGTGTTGCTAATTTCCACTCTCTGTTCTTATCAAATTTGTGTTTGAAATGAATTTCGTTTTGTGAGGAGAACTGTTTAGGAAAAAGTATAGAACCCAATTTTAAGTTCATCATGGTGAAGTTGGACATTCTGGCGGTGATTGTAAGAATGATAAATGCATGTTGATATCATATAATGTATTGAATAAAATATGCCTATTTCCGATGTTTCTCTTTCTTTTTGGCATTATCTATTTATTTACAAGCAGGGTAATTTAAATTTCATTTTTTTCCGATAATGTCGATAATCGTCTGTTACCTGACTATTGACATCGACATCGCGATACTTACGAGACATCGTCGATATACGATAATATCGTCATATTTGTAAAAATCGACGCGTTTCAGAAGGCGGGGCATACAGGAGAAACAATAATGTACAGTATGTGGAAAATAATGTGTTTTTTTAACTTTAAACCGCATAAACACATTTCATTACACCAAATACACAAAATAATGTTCTTTTTAGCAGCATCATATGACCCCTTTAATAATTGTGTACACACATGTTTTTACACTGTACTTATATCTGGAAAAACCGTCCTGTAATTACATCCGTAATTAATTTCTATAGTTACATCAATAATTACAATGTTGACAATACCTCTTACCCCTTAACCTAACCAGACCACCAAACCTGCCCCTATCCTTACCTGTATCCCACCTCAACAGCAGCAAAAGTGTTTTGCAATTCAACATGAACACAATACTGTACCATCAATTCATCGTATTATTAAGTGCATAGTATTTAAAGACACCTAATATAAAGTAAGACCATAAATGTTTCTTATTAGCGGCAAATCAGCATATAAAATGATTTCTGAAGAATCATGTGGCACTGAAGATTGGAGTAATGGCTGTTGAAAATTCAGCCATCACAGGAATATTAACATTTAAAAATATATTAAAACAGTTTTTTTAAATTGAAAGAATATTGATGTTTTTAATGTATTTGTCATTAAACACAAAAGAAGTAATAAATACATAAATTATCAACCCTAAACTTTTGAATGGTAATGTATGTAAACAAAGCCATGAAGGCACACACAATCCTTTTATTGTATCGCACTGGAAGTAGTTGGATGACATTGCCCTTTATTCAGGAGCACAGAAAAGCATTCCTAAAGTATAGCTTAACAATACCACCCATTCACAGATATGAGTTGGTCATAATGAAAGTCACGCTCTGCAAACATCCTGCTGGACTCTTCTGTTGCCAAGAGCATCCTGAAGGAGCAGGTGTTGCTAGAAGATATCAAGAATTTCCCCTCAATCTGGAAAACCCAATGAAAAAAAAGAGGTGGGACTTTGCCTGGAACATGAGGCAGGGAGATAATTTTTAAATCAGAGGGAGCAAATTTAATTCTGTGGATTCCCAAAGGATGATCCCGATATAAGTAAACTCTCACTGGGGTCTGTGGGACAGAGTGCTGGGATATTTTAGGACAAGCACTATGAGGGGTATCCAAGCACTGCAGTGTCGTCAACATCGGCAGCTGGGTCAGATAGGTGACCAATTGACCTATCGCATCCTCTCCTGCTTACTATGGTGGATTCTAAATTTGCTTGCCATATTTGTCATATATTTACAATCTTTTATCCTTGTAATCCACTTGTAAAGTCATTCCAATTGATTCCATTCAATCATTCAGGCTTGCAACAGTCTCGGGCATGAATAAAATGGCCTGAATAAAGTAATTATCATTCACAAATTGGTCAAACTCTGAGTACAGCCAAAACCTGGTACTGACAAATATTTAGTCAAATTTATGACAGAGTCTCAAAGAACATTACAATTTTCTGTACCAAACATATACCATAGTGTTGATAATAAATATATTACGTAGACCTTAAAATGTTAGCAAAAAGCCACTCGTTCCAGGAAACTGACAACTCTGTCACGTCAACCTATATATTACGGAGATGTTAAATATGTAGTTTGGTGCCTTATTGTCAAAACAGAGGCACTGGCATAGACACATATTTTAGTTTCAAACACAGAGGCCAATATTTAAAGTAAAATGTTTTGAAATAAGAGTAAAGACACACTTTGCTGATAAATGCAACTACAAGGCTTGCTGCACCAGTGAATTTAAAACCAAAGACACCCTTTCAAGGAATAATTCATCTAAAAAAGAAAATGATGTCATAATTTACATATTCTTACTGTACATCATTCCTGTTTGAGTTTCTTTCTTCTATTTAACACAAAATGTTCATGCTGCTCTTTTCCACACAATTAAAGTGAGTGGACTAGGAGCTGTCATGCTCAAAAAAAAAAAAAAAAGTCCAAGCACCCTAATAGTAGTTCATACTACTCATGCAAATATATATACAGTGACATGCGAAAGTTTGGGAACCCCTTGCAGAATCTGTGAAAATGTGAATAATTTTAACAAAATAAGAGAGATCATACAAAATGCATATTATTTTTTATTTAGTACTGTCCTGAGTAAGATATTTTACATAAAATATGTTTACATTTAGTCCACAAGAAAAAAAAAGCTGAAATTATAAAAAATAACTCCCTTCAAAAGTTTGGGAACCCTTGGTTCTTAATACTGTGTGTGGTTACCTGGATGATCTACCACTGTTTTTTGTTTTGTGATGGTTGTTCATGAGTCCCTTGTTTGTTCTGAACAGTTAAACTGAGCACTGTTCTTCAGAAAAATCCTCCAGCTCCTGCAGATTCTTCAGTTTTCCACCATCTTTTGCATATTTGAACCCTTTCCAGATCAGTAAGACTTGTAATGTTTTTTAAAGAAGTCTCTTATGCTCAACAAGGCTGCATTTATTTGATCAAAAATACAGGAAAAAACAGTAATCTTGCAAAATGTTATTACAACATAAATAAGTGGTACTTTAAAATATAAATTTATTTCTGTGATGCAAAGCTGATTTTCCATCAGCCATTACTCCAGTCCTAAGTGTCACATGATTCTTCAGAAATCATTCTAATATGCTGATTTATTTTTAGAATTATCAATGTTGGCAACAGTTGTGCTGCTAAATATTTTTTTGGAAACTGAGATACTTTTTTCAGGATTCTTTGATGAATAAAAAGTTAAAAAGAACAGCATTTATTCAAAATATAAACCTTTTCTAAC